TCTAAGTTTTCACACAAGTATGCATCAGATGTGGGACACAGACAATTTTCTTCTTTCCTTGTGTGTGTGTGTGCATGATTTTATGTATCCACATAGAATCTATATAAAACAAATGAGAGAAAACATTCCTCTTTCTGAGACCGTCTTAATTCACAGTGTGATTGATTATCTGTTGAATCCATTGTCCTGCAAACGGACAGCTTCGTTCCATGTGATTACGGGAAAGAATTGAATTTCCTATTCCCCCTCTGTTGTTGGACGAGTACGTTGGTTCCGTGGTGAAGCTACTGTGGACAGTCCTACTATAACAGTGGCATGCAAACACCCCTATGTATGACACGGTAACTTAGAAGAGTCTTGGGTAGATACCCAAGAGGGTAATAGCTGGGTCCTCTGGAAGATCTGGTCTTAGTATAAGGGCTCGCTTTGTCACATCTCCCATTAACATGTGTTGTCACTTGTTTTGATGACTGCCATCTCGACCGGGGTGGGACTGAATTTGGGGTACCTTCAATTTGCTTTTCTCTGATGGTTGGCTTGTGAAACTGAACATGTTTTCATGTTTCTTGGCCATTTGTGTTTCATTCTTTAAGAACTCTGTCCGGTTTGTTGACTTGGGTTGTGTGGTTTCTTGCTTTGTGTTTGAGTTCTTTGTATATTCTAGATACTAGTCCTGTCTAATGTCTGTGTGTACCTGCATGCAGGTATTCATGCTTGCGTGTGACTATGCTGGTGTGTGTGTGTGTGTGCGTGTGCGTCTGGAGATTTGCCTGTCTTTGTCTCCTGAGTACTGGGATCTTAGGCATACATCACCACACCTAACTCTTCTCCCTTTCTGCAGGCTGATGAGAAGGAGGTCTCACTAGTAGTCCAGGTTACCCTCAAGCCTCTCAAGTGCTGGGATTATAGACAGATGCCTCCGTGTCCAGACTACTTCCGGTTTTTATTATAGGGAATCACAAATGTTTACTGAAGTCAACAGTACAATAAAGCTGTGGCTGCCAGGGTGTAGGAGCGGAATGTGAGAAAGACAGCTAATGGGGATGAGGCTTCTCATCAGGGAGATGACATCAGCTTAAGTTAAGGGTAGCGGCTTTACATCTCTAAATATACCTTTAAATTTTATTTTTGCACCCTAAAAAAGGGAATTTGGGGCATGGACAGATGACTCCACGGTTAGAAGCACTAACGGCTCTTCCAGAGGACCCAGGTTCACTGTCCAGCACCTGCAAAGCTGCTAACAAATGGCTGTACCTGCCGTTCCCACGCCCTCTTGTGGCCTCTGTGAGCACTGCACACACATGGTGCACAGATATTCATAACAGGCAAAACATCCAACATCTTAAAACCTTAAAGGTGAATTTTACGGTACCTGAGTTACATCTAAATAAAGAGAGAAGCATGGGTGGGAAGAATGGTGGGTTGGTTTGCTGGTCTGAGACAGAGTCTCGTTGTGTAGCCCAGACTAGCCTGGAACTCACTGCGTGTCCCAAGGCCGACCTCAAACCATAGCAATTCTCCTGTTTCAGCTTCCTGAGTGCTTGGGCTACAGCTGTGAACCACCGTATCTGAGTTGGTTTCTTTATTCTTTTTTGTTTTGTTTTGTTTTTTGTTTTTTGTTTTTGTTTGTTTCGAGACAGGGTTTCTCTGTGGCTTTGGAGGCTATCCTGGGACTCGCTTGGTAGTCCAGGCTGGTCCAATTTACAGAGATCCACCTGCCTCTGCCTCCCGAGTACTGGGATTAAAGGCGTGGGCCACCAACGCCCGGCGGTTTCTTCATTCTTTAAAACTTGAAAAGTCTAGGCCTAGAGAGAGAGAGAGGGCTCAGCAGCATTGAGCACTTACTCTTGCAGAGGACCTAGGTTCTGTTCCATAGAACCCACACCATGGCTCACAAGTAGCTCTCACTCCAGTTCCAGGAGATCTGATACCCTCTTCTGACCTCACACACGTGCTACAACGCATACATGAAGACAAAGCACTCGTGCAGATAACATAAAAAGATGCGAATTTTCAAAGTCTACAGGGCCAGTGACATGGCTCAGTGGACGAGAGCTCTTGTCACCAAGCCTGAGGACCTGAGTTTGATCCCCAAAACCCAAGATCACCAAGGTAACCCTGGAGGGGAGGATGAGCTCTCCACCATGTGTGAACCCACAGTGGGGTCTGGGGTGGGTTCATGGACTAGCCAGGAAGCTCCTCTCCACCCTGGTTTGACAGCTTCTCCAGGTGCTAAAAAGAACCCCACCACAAGAAACAAAGAGGGGGAGGGGCGGAAGGAGCAAAACCAAGAGTTCTCGGGCTGGTGAGCCTGCACTAGGGCTACAGATACCGCCAGTGCCGGTGTCACAAAGCAAGCCTTATTCTTCGACGGCTTCATGCGTATCTCCATAATGTATTTTGACCACAAACACACACACACACACACACACACACACACACACACATATAAACATGAAATCTTTTTGTTGTTGTTGTTGTTAATGATTTCAGTGTACTGTGTGCTTGGCGCTATTCTGAGTTCTGGGGAAGCATCAGTGACTTGTGTGTACCCCAGTCTCTGCTTGGAGAGCCTCACCTGCAGAACAGACTTTGTAAGTGAGTGAGGGGCAGATCAGGAAAGTCCACGAAGGCCGGATAAAGGGACGTTGGGTATTTATTGGGGAATCACTCACAAATGACAAGGCAAGGTAGAGAAACGCTGATGTCTTCCGCTCTTAGGCGCTGGAAGCTGCCACCCAAGAGAGAGTGAGAGAGACCCCTCCTCTTCTGTATAAGGGATCAGGTCCTCACTCTGAAGCCACGCCCTAAGACCGGTACCCCAAAACTCTTGGCAGAACGAATTCCTACTACAGGTGAGTTCTGTGAATGAGATAGGCCACAGTGTTGCTCTCGCTTGCCTTTGGCTGTGATTGGCAAACACGTATTTCTGCTCTCTTCCTCCTGTTTCCCGATCAAGCGGCGATGTTTGGGCGTGGTTTTGAAGTTTTTTTGTTTGTTTGTTTGTTTTTTGGAGTTTTAAGGATCCCTGCCCTCTAGGAATGCTATTCACTCTCTGGCGATTTCTCAGCCCCACCCCCCACCCCAATGCACCCACGGATTAGGGACATTGACTTGCGTGCTCAAGAAGGCCCTGGATTTGACCCCCAGTGCTGGTACAGTCCTGCACTCTCAACACTTAGGAGGTGGAGGTAGGAGGGCCAGAAGTTCTAGGTCATCCTCCGCTACATAGAAAATGTGAGGCCGGCCTGGCTATACGGGACCCTGTTTCAAAATGGAGGAGGAAAGAAGGAAGTGAGGGGCGAGGGGCTAGTCAGAACACATCTGGGCTTGAATCAGCGACTGAAAAGACGGCTCAGCAGTTTAAGCAGTTTAAAGGCCGGAAACTGGATCTAACTGCAGTTCCAGGAGGATCTGGCGCCCTCTGCTGGTGTCTGCGGGCACTGCAGGCACATGGTAGTTTACGTACATGCAGGCAAAACACCATCCATATGATAGGTAGGTAGATAGATAGATAGATAGATAGATAGATAGATAGATAGATAGATAGATAGATAGATAGATAGATAGATAGATAGATAGATAGATAGATAGATAGATAGATAATTGGCACAAATGTCACCTGCCATGAGAAGTCTCCAGCTCGATGAAGGGCAGGAAAGACTTTTAATTCACCACTGTGTTCAGAGCAGTGGGCTAAGCTCTCCAGTAAGCCGAGGCTGTCACCGGAGCCCTGGCCTGGTGACTCACGAGCCCTCTCTGCTTCCTTAAAGGGAGCACACCCATCCTCCTCCCTCTATTGTGACTCACTCCCGCCCGTTTCAGATCTGTCTTCCTCCATCTGCCCTGTGGGTTTTGGCATACGGCTAAATCAGCTTCTTCTGTTTGAGGCGCAGATTCACACTGTAGCCCAGGCTAGCCTTAAAATGGCAGCAGCTCTCCTATCTCGGCACTACAGATGCAGGGACTGCAGCATGCACTAGTGCGCCCAGTTCTAAGTCTGTTTGTGAATGAACCTGCTCCTTCTGTCTGGTCATTGTCCCTTCCCGTTATCTGCCGTTGTCCGCACTGCCGTCTGCTTGCTCCTTCAAGGTAATTTCAAACAAAGGTAGCATATGTGTCAATTCACTTACTTGTTTTTTATTACACCTATTTATTTTATCTGGGGGAGGGGTGCATGTGCGCGCGCACACACACACACACACACACACACACACACACACACACACACGCCAGTGTGCATGCTGCAGTCAGAAGACAACTTGCAGGAATCGATTCTCTTCCTCAGCGTGGTTCCCGGGGTCCCAACTCAGGTTTTCAGCTGGGCAGCAAGCAGCTTTACCCATTGAACCATCTTGCCTGCTTATTTTTTTTTTAATTACTCACCATGCAGCCCTGGCTGGCCTGGAACTTGTTTTGTAAATTGCACTATTCTTGATCAGCCTGCCTCTGCCTCCAGAGAGCTAGGATTGAAGATGCATGTTTTCTCATGCTTTAGAGATAACCCTTTGAAAATACAGAGCCCTGTGTAGAAACTAGCCAGTGGTTTCAATTGGCAAACATGTCTTGGCAATCAGGTAGGTGTGGGGACTGGGGTGTGGGGGTACCCAAAAGAAACTAAGAGTTTGTAAAGGACGGCTGGGCATGATGTCACACATTTTAAATCTCACACTCAGGAGGCAGAAACAGATGGGTCTTTGTGAGTTCAAGGTCAGCCTGGTCTACGTAGAGAGTTCCAGTCCGGCTGGGAGGAGCTACTTAGAAGATGGGACCCTTATGCTAAAACGAAATGAGCACAAGCTCCTTTTGGCATCCTTCTGCAGAGTGGCTCCTCTCTGGATATTGGGTCCTGGTTACTGCGGTCATCCTAGTTATCCTCGGCGTCACAAGGCCAGGCACTGGGTAGGAAGGAAGACACGCTGACCACAGCGGAAACTCAGCCTTTGGCCTGCTGGGTGGGAATTGTTCCATAGTCTTCAAGGGACAAGAATGCGGTGTGATCCTACACGGAGCTGCTCGAAGTAGGAACCTCACCTTGCAAAGCAGAAGGGTGGTTTGGGGTTCTCCCCCTTCTTCTTTTGTGGTTTTACACAGCCAATGAGTGTCAGCCTCCACTTACAGATACATCAGGCACGGAGGCGTGAGTGTGGCCTGCAGCTCTGGCCCCACCTCCCTCGTCCCTTTCATTTGACTCTCATTACTTGAAAGAATCTTCTCGACTGTTCCCATGTGTCGGCCAACAGTTGCATAGAGTCCAGCTGCTGGGAGCCAGCCCACCCGCCTCATGCTGTGGCATTGCATCACCACCGGGCCCTGGAGCCGGAGGTAGCAGCAGCTGGAGAGCTCAGAGGAGCCTGCTCGCACCAGCAGACATGAGAGGCACCAACAGCAGGGAGGGTGCACCCAAGGTGAGTGACGCCTGATGGGCTGTGTGCGTCCCAAGGTGGCTGACTGATGATGGGCTGTGTGTGGCGAGAGAGCAGCCTTCGGTCGACTCCACTACTTTTTTTTATATCTTTGGGTCTCTAGTGGGTGTGACAGTATCAGTAGCAGGCAGGTTTGAAATGGGAGCATTTCACTCCTTACCGGCTGTTGGCTTCCAGGTGACTGAAAATGACCAGGAGAAATCAGCTGGAGGCAGGCAGCTCAAACCTTCACTCTGTGTCTGTTCACCACCCAGCAAACTTCTTAAGAAAGATGCAAAGTCCTGCCTCTGCCCACTCCTCCTCTTCTCTCTCCCTTTCCCTGCATCCCTGGGGTGCTTAGTGTGGACTAGGGATGCTGGGTGGTTTGGGGGCTCACTTCCGTTGAACAGAGAGAACCTAGACCTTGACCCTGCTCTTGTTAACTCCAGGGAGAATGCCCACGCTGTCTTTGTGTTCCCCTGTGTGCTGGGGACTCGGGCTTTGGTTCAGACTGCAAGTCTGGGCCACGAACTGAGAGGCATTCCTGTGTAGCCGGGCACACTGCAAACCTAAGAGACTTGAGACACGGCTCAGTGGCTAAGAGCACTTGCTAGACAGGCACCAGGACCTGAAGTCAGTACCCAGCACCCACATAAAAAGTCAGCCAAGGAGGCATGCTCCTGTGACCCCAAAGATGTCAAGGTGGTGACAGGAAGGCCCCTGGAGCTCTCTGACCAGCTTCCCTGAGACAAGCAACTCCAGCTTCAGACTCAAAAATAAAGTGGGTGGGTGGTAGAGAAGGATGTCTCAAGATCAACCTCTGGCTCACACATCCTTACTGCACACACACACACACACACACACACACACACACACGCACGCACGCACGCACGCACGCACACACATGCACACGCACACGCACACACACAGCAGGGGGAGGGTGACCACAGGAAAGTGAGGCTCACAGTTGATGCTTTTCTGTTCTGTCCCTTCTACAATCTAATGGAACGGTAAAGACAAAGGAGAGCCTTTGCTAAGTGGAGAGGCCGCCTGCTGGAATTTAAGTATCGGTTGTCATTGTGACTATAACAAGTGTGGAGATCCAGGGCTGGGTTCTGTGACAACTCCTTGTTTAAGTGACAGTGTCTGAGCCGAGAGTCTTGCCCCACCATTCACGCTGACGGTTTTTCAAAGCGCTGAGGGGATTGAGTGGTTTAGCCAAGCCCCGCAAAGTCCGTGGGCTGTCTTTCACCCAAAGCCGTCAGCTCCTGTGGGTTTCTCCCACTTGGGCACCTGCTCGTGGTAAGTAGATGCCGCACAGGCATTGTTCGCCACGGTTGGTCAGCTGTCCGAAAATGCAACTTCTACCCTCTTCTGTCCTGAGCTGGGGGTGTAGCTCAGTGGGTAGGGTGCAGGCCTCACAGGTAGGGTGCACAAAACCCCAGGTTGAGTCCCCAGCACTCGTGGCACATACCTGTAATCCCATCACATGGAGACAAGGGGGGGGCTTCAAACTCATCCTCAGCCACAGCTATCCAGACTTCATAAGACCCTGACACAAAACAACAGCAGGAAATACTTCATCCCTGTGCATTTGAACCGGTGTCCCTACCTTCATGCAGATTTTATGAGCCCATTTGAACTTCAGACTATAGCCATGTTCTTTCTCCAAGAACATGCTTTCCCACCATTTTGGCTGTGATTCATGGGTCTGTTTGTCCAATTCAGTCTTCATTCCAGAGTCCCACGTCATACTCTCTACCAAGCCTTACTTGTCATTAGTCTAGAACAATCCGCTTCTTACTTTTCTCTGGTGGCTTTGCCAGTTATTTTATTTTTTTCTGAACCGTTGAGATCTGAAACTTCGTTTTGTTCATACACCCATCATTCTGCGTGTTTTCTACATAACTATAACCTGTAAGCAGCGTGTATATGGGCATATGACCTAACTAGCATATTTTCTATGTAACTATAACCTGTAAGCAGCGTGTATATGTGTATATATGTGTGTATATATATATATGTATATGTGCATATGACCTAAATGGCATGTTTTCTACGTAACTGTATAACCTGTAAGCAGTGTGTATATGTGCATATATGTGTGTATATATATGTGTGTATATATATGTATGTATATATATATGTGTATATGTGCATATGACCTAACTGGCATGTTTTCTATGTACTGTATAATCTGTAAGCAGCCCCCTTGTCTGTCTGACGCAGGTCCCCGTAACTAACTGTTGTCACTCCTGTGTGTACACCAGGTCCTGCATCGAGCACTCCAGTAGCCCTCAGTCCCTCAGGGTGTCCTCACAGCCTTCCCATGGAGCAGCCGTTACTCTCACCCTCTCTTGCGTATGAGGGAACTGCCAAACACCCAGTGGTTGGTCAGAGGTCCTGCCAAATCAAACGGGGCAGCCTGCACCCAGCGCCCCGGCTTTCAGCTGGCCCATTGTGGCCTCACCTTAGACAAGGGATCAGTAAACAGTGCCTACACAAAGCCAGCTAGTACTGGGGAGAAGGGGTGTGGCCTGAACTCTCAGCTCCAGAGAGGCTGAAGAGGGGACAGCTGCAATTTCAAGGGCAGCCTGGGCTTCACAGACCCTGACTCGAGAAACAAACAAAAGACCAGACGGTGTTTCTTGCTTTACAGGTCCCAGGTAATGTCCGTGGCACTGTCCCCTATTTTTACAACTCTTTAAAAGTGTGTACTGGCTCTTCACTCACAGATAAGTCATCCAAATTTGTAGCTCATGTAAGACAGCCCTTTCCAGTGTGGTGGTGCTGAATGGGAACCCAGTCTCCAGCCTCCTAGGCCTGAGGAGCTCCCAGCTAGCTATAAACTCTGTTTCTTGGGTATCTGTGTAGATGCACATAGGCACCTCTCTGTGTGTGTGTGTGTGTGTGTGTGTGTGTGTGTGTGTGTGTCTGTCTGTCTCTCTGTCTCTCTGTCTCTCTCTGTCTCTCTGTCTCTCTGGCTGACCTCAAACTTCTAGAGATCTATCTGCCTCTGCCTCTCCCTGCCTCTAGGTTTTAAAGGCATGCACCACCACACTCAGGGTCGTATACTTTTCTCACACAAAAGAGAAGGAGCAGTGAGTTAACTTTGGAGCTTGTTACTGTTTATAATATAATCCATATGTGATGTAATATAATATAACCAACATATAACATAACCTAATATATAATAAATAATCATCATGTAGTGTAATATAATCAACAATATGCATTAAAGACCAGATCACATTGGTACAGCTGATCTGGGAGTTGGCTTGGCCTCATTAATTGCTGTTTACTTGTCTTGTTTTTTAAAATTATATTTTATTTATTTTGTGTCTTACAGGGTGTGGGTGTGTGGGCGGGGGAGTCAATGTCATGGCACGTGTGTAACCAGAGGACAACTTGCAGGAATCAGGTCCTTCCACCATGTGGGTCCCAGGCTTGGCAGTAGGGGTCTTTAACCACTGAGCCTCTCACCAGCCCTTGGTTGCTTTCTAAGTAGGAATGGTGCCTGAGAGAGTTCTATGAGGGAAGTAGGCCTCTTTAGTGCCCGTGACTTCAAAGCCCCTCACTGTCGTTCAAGGTCACTTACCCATGTCAGACCCCAAGTTCAAATTTGTCCACTGGAAAAGATAAATGAGCTGTCTGTTTGCTGCTGCTGTGGCTGCTTCATTGTTTTATAGAACAAGGGGGACGTTTAAAATTAAGTGTGGCATTAGCAAGAGGAGAGCCTGGTGACTTTGGCAGTACGGATGCAGCAGGGAGAAGCCCACGTGTACAGCCCAGCCGTGAATCTGTCATCTGCTTGGCCCACTAGCTGGCCAATTTTCACAGCCACTCAAGAAGTGCTGAAAACAGTTCAGTAGACAGAAGGTGTTTACTACCAAGTCTGGCGACCTGAGTTGGACGCCCAGGACAGACATAATAAGAGGAGAGAGCTCATTCCTGTGAGTTATTCACGCATGCACTGTGGTACGTGCCCGTGCATGTGCACACACAAACACACATACAATAAATACATAGATGGATGATAAGCTGGATGGGCGTGGTGCACACCTTTAATCCCAGCACTGGGAAGGCAGAGGCAGAGGATCTCTGTGAGTTCGAGGTCAGCATTGTCTACAGAGTGAGTTCCAGGACAGCCAGGGCTGATACACAGAGAAACCTGTCTCAAAAAACAAAACAAGTGCTAGAAACTTGTTCTAAAGGCCAGAAGGAGCTGCCATTCTGGAGCACACCTATAACCCCAGCACTGGGGAGGCAGAGGCAGGAGGATCATCTGGCTGTTTGGGGCCAGCCTCTGCTACAGAGGGAAACCTTGTTTCAAAGTGGGAAGAGAAGGAAAACATGTGATTTGCTGTCATTTTGACTTCTTGGTGTTTGAACCCCTGCCCCGTTGTGGGGGCAGCGCGTGTCGCAGCCTGTGATCCCAGAACTAGGGATCTGGAGGCGAGAGGATCAGGAATTCAAAACCAGTGTGGGCTTCCTGAGATCCCGTCTCTGAAAGGGGTTTCCAACGCTTCTTTGTCATATCACTACAAACGATGGGTCCTGTATTCACCTCTAGGGACATCTAACTTCTGACTGCTGGGGTTTCTGACTCAGAGGCAGCAGCCCCCCTCCCTCTCCAAGGGAGAGGGATCCGGGCGAAGACTCAGAATGAAAAACAAAACCTTCAGTGCACACAGGGCTGGTTGGGAGGTGACCCAGTGTGGCAGACAGTGTGACAGACAGTGTGACAGACAGTGTGACAGACAGACAGTGTCGGCGTGCCAGCCGCTGGCTGGGATAAGGGCACTTTCAGAGCTTTGTCTATGGGGAGCAAGTTTGGCCCAGCCTGTCTTCACCGGGGCTGTCGACAGGGGATTCCACACAGTGTCAAAGAGAGTGGTTGGGTTCCTGCGTCCGAAGCTGCAAGAGCTGCAGGCCCAGCTGAGCCCACGCCTCAGTTCTCCGCCTCGCCCTGCGCCCTCCTGCCTTCTCTCCCTGCAACCTGT